TTTATTTATTTGACAGAGAGAGACACAGTGAGAGCAGGAACACAAGCAGGGGGAGTGGGAGAGGGAGAAGCAGGCTCCCTGCGGAGCAGGGAGCCCGATGTGGGACTCGATCCCAGGACCCTGGGACCATGACCCGAGCCGAAGGCAGACGCTTAACGACTGAGCCACCCAGGCGCCCGAAAAATCCTGGATCCTTGACCGACTCGGCCAACGTGCAGAAATATCCTGTGGATGAGGCCCAGCTGCTGTCATTTTAAGATGCTCTGAGGCTGATAATCAGGCCAGTGGGAACATATGGAATGTGTCACACCCATTTTATTCTTTGGCCAAAACTATTATCCTGTTAGGCAAGTGTGAAGCTAACAAAACAGATGCCTAAGAGGCTAGACTTGAGAATCCCCAGAGTGACTGCCTCATTTGCTCAAAATGACTTCATTGATTTAAGTAGAAATGGTCCCTGTCCTTAAGGAGATTCCAATTTAAAATCCTGTCCCTAAGTATGATACTACCTCATCTGTGCCTCAGTTTTCTGATAGCCAAAACTAGAATGGTCTTCAAAGATGCATCCAGCTCTGATGGCACACAATTTTATGTTTCTTATTACAACAGCCATAAGGCAAACATATCGGTCCATCTTATCTCTTACCCCTCCCTCACAGGACACTGGGATTCCTGACCATTACACATGACTTTTGAATGTGTCTGAGCATGTGATCCTGCATTCCCATTCTTTTAACTTAATTCGAGACAAAGTTCAAAGGTAAGAGTGCACCCATAGGATTTAGAACACTACTAGACTGAGTTCAGCAGAAATTTCCTCTTCAATTAAAGAAACAATTAAGGGTGGTATCTTTATTTTATTTTATTTATTTTTTGAGGATGGTATCTTTATTCCTATTTTACAGATGAGAAACTGAGTCCTGGAATTGTTAACAAAATGTCCTGAGACACTATGTCCTGGAAATAATAACTAGCATTTAGTGAATGTTAATAAATAGAGGCACAGAGAGGTTAAACAAATTTGACAGTTCACACAGCTGATGGGTAGAGGAGCTGATAATCACAATCAGCCATACTAACTACTTAGGGCTATATGTAATAAGTATAACATCCTGCGTTTTACTATCCTTACTTAGTCTAACTTAATATTATTTTAATCATCATTCTAATGCTATGATTTAGGTATTATCAACGGTGTGCTGATAAATGTCTAACTACTGGTTTTCCAAGGAAGGTTGGAATCCTGATTTGTAATGTTTGCCAATTTTCATAGTGTGACTATTCCTACTAGGGCCAGTTTCGAGGTACCACTATAACATGAATGAACTCAGAATTGGGAAGACATGTACAGTAACTCCACTATATGGTATTTCCGTTGTATGGATATAATATATATAAATAGCTTCAAGAAATAGGTAATAGTAAATCACAGTAAAATATCAGGAAACACTTACTTTGAGTATTTATTGCCTTCATTTTTTTTTTCCTTTGTGGCATCTTTATTTTTCTATCTGGTACATGAACAAAGTGAACATGGTCAGAAAAATCAGCTGCACTGAAACAGCCGATTGTAAAACATGAGGGCATGAGGACATGGAAGGGCAGGGTGACAATTCCAGACCAGCTTCCCCCAAAGGGCTTATGCTCCAAGCCCGCAACCAGAGACTGCGCTGGGCAGGACTGTGCAGTGCATCTCTGGGGAGGAGCGACAAGAAGGACCAGTCACAACAGGGACTACTGCAGGCATGAGTTTATTGGCTTCTGACCTCACACTCCTGCTTGATGAAGTTGATGAGCCCTTTGGTGGAAGAGTCGTGAGAGGTCCCTGGGCTACTGCCATCAAGCTCAGGCTCTATTTTCTTGGTCAGCTGCTTTCCCAGCTCCACCCCGCACTGGTCAAAGCTGTTGACGTGGGACCCAGATGATACCCTGAATGAAGATCTTGTGCTCGTACATGGCAATCAAGGCTCCCAGAATGAATGGCGTGGGCTTGGTGAACACAATAGAGTAGGTTGGCTGATTTCCTTCAAAGACCTTGTGTGGCAACAGCTTCTCCAAGGCCTCTGGACTCTTCCCTGCGGCCTGCAGCTCCTTCCGGGCCTCCTCTGTTGACTTCCCCTTCATCAGGGCCTCAGTTTGCGCCAAAAAAGTTGGCCAGGAGGATCTTGTGATGCAAACCCTTCCTTATCAGGTGCTGGGTCTGGATGGGATGAGGAAGTCACAAGGTATCATCTTGGTGCCTTGGTGGATGAACTGGTAGAAGGTATTGCCTTCATTTTTAATAAAATGTACTTAACTATAAGTGAACAAAGGAAGCTATAGAGTAATGCTTACAACATGTTTCTGTTTTTGTATATGAGAAAACCATCACACATGTGTATTATGTGTTTATTTGGTAAAAAAAGTAAACTGTTAAAATGGGTTACTTCAAAGATGTGGGGATTGAGGATGCCAACAGATTACCTTTTTTGGGGTCACATCTCTGTATTTGATATTTTACAACCATAATATTGTGCTTATATGACAAAAAATAATCTATAGTTTACCTTTGGAAGGTAAGAATGACTTTTTCATTAAATGGTTTTAGAGGTAAAGGGAATTACAATAATTGTGAAGGTTGAGGAGTGTTCAATTTCTCATTTTAAAATTAGTGTTTATTGGTTCATTGTCCTTCCCACTGGAATGAAAGCTGTCATGGTCAGCATATAAGTACCTACAAAGTCATGGTTCCAGCCCCCATCATCCCTCCCTTAAACTAATACAACAGCTTCCTAACCATCTCACTGTTTCTGTTCTTTCCCTCTGCATTAGCTTGCTAGAGCTGCCATA